GTAGAGAGGAGCATTTTGCTAAATATATGCACCATATAATATATTTATTATAACTTCTACTGTTCTTCAAAGTTTAATTTATATTTTTTTTATGATAGCTACCATTTAAATGTTTATATTTAAAAAACGAATTGAAGTAGAAATATTATGTAATTGTAACTTTTATTATAAAAACTTCATTAAGTGTAATTTAAGCAGTTGTATAGCCTAAAAAAATCAGTCAGTTTTAACCTCAAATGTTATAGTAATGTAGTACCAACTGACTCTCATGTATATTTTACAGCATTAGTTAAGAGATTTTTTTTTTCCGTGAGAAAATTTTGCATGTGTACCAGATATATATCCAAAATAATCGGTATTGAATCGAATCGAATCGAATTGCAAGCTTGTGAATGAGAATCAAATCGAATCGTGAAACTTGTCAAAACCCAGCCCTACAATATATTCTTTTCATATCAAACAATATTGGTATTCATCACAATATCCATTTGCTATTAATGGGGAAGGAAATGCTTTCCACATGTTTGTTCGATCTTGAGAATGAATGTAAACATAACTAGTTCGTTCAGAATTAAACTCCACAGAGTAAGATAACTTTTAATTTGGGGCCTCATGAAATCGGTTTCATTTTCCCCTAAATGATGCGTTTTCCATTTTTTTTTCTTTTCTGGATTCTTTGTTTTATGATTGAATATGAATTTATCATCAAAAAGTGTGTCTAGTGAAATGAATTAATACAACTTGAAATGTAATTAAATGAAAATATAACAACTAATTAACAACAAGACATTGCATTTCAGATGCTGCACAACAAAACTGTATCATTTAAAACATGGATGAAAAAATATCTCGGTTGTATGACATTCCTAATTTAATTATTATTACCTTGAGCAATACATTTTAGTATACAATAGTAATACATTTCTATCACAATTTCTTCAAATTAAACCAGACTTTTATTTTGACGGTTTGTTGTGAATGAGTTTGACGACAGTTTTTCTCAAGTGAAATGCTGGTGAAGTGAGTCTCAGAACAGCTCTGGAGATGAAGTTGATGTCCTCATATATTGAGACGGCAGACGCTGAAAATACCGTTAGAATCCCATGTGTTTGCATTTGCGTAGTAGACGAAAGCAAAGTCCCTATGAAGGAAAGTCTGTTCACTCGGCGGCCTTTTTTGCAACGGTTTCGAGCAGCTATTTCAGGCATCCAAGACCAAGTCCTATCTACTTGAATGGGAAAAACAGATATCTCAAAAACTGCTTGCCAAACTCACATTTAAAATACATATTTCAGATCAGCAACAAAAACTGACATCAACTGCCACATAAATGTTACTTCTTACAGTAGAGTTAAAAAAACAACAACCAACACGCATAGTGCACGTCTCAGGACACTGACTGATTCTGGGGCTTTTAGACTAATCAATATCGAGTAAAAATATCCAGAGATTATCATTGTATTCACATACATTTTATTGCAATCTTGATATAATGTTTATCGCCCAACTCCTGGATGGAGGTCCCATAATGCCAGCTTCTGACACAACATCAAAGATGAAAGAAAACCATTTTAAGAACTCTTACTTGGTCCCATTTTCTGGTAGGATTCAGTCTCCCCTTTAAGGTCTTCTACTGGTATCACATGGTCATATGGATCTGGACAACACAACAACAAGTAAGCCTTTTCATCTTAAAGCACAGTTGGAGTCTCAATCTTGTATCCAAGACAACATAAAATCACTGGTTCTCCCACTGTGGGTCTTAATAATGATTTCATGTCATTGGTGATAGCAATGTTATAAACTAGTATTTTGTCATTACAAATAGTGGAACAGTATTTACAAAGAATGAGATGAGGCTTTTATGAGAAGGATCTGAGGGTATAATGTATCAATAGCTCCTCAAACACCATTTTAGAAAATTCACCTTTCATGTTTTGGAAAATGTTTTGTAGGATCAAGATCAATCAAGAGAAAGTTTTTTTTTGGTTGGGTTATTGTTCATTAGAAAGGTTTTTGGTCAAAGTACTATTGACAATGTAAAAAAACATAGCTTGCTTCATATTTCCCCCTTTAAATTGAGGCATTTTCTCCCCACAAATACTGTACAGAACTTTTTTTTTTCCCTTTTTCATCAAATGATCAGTGCTCAAGCTTCAGAAAATGTTGACTGTCAATTGAAATGTAGTATGTTGGAGATCAAACTAAATATAAAATGCATTGAGGTTTGCGGTCTTTAAAATACAATATAAATTTGGAATTTTGCAAACCTTTGATTTTGTCAATGTCAAAAAAAATGGGACATGTATAAATACAGTATCATTTAATAGTAGTGCTGTCAAAATTAACGCGTTAACTAACGCATGCAATTTTTTTTTTTTTTCAGTTTAACGCGTAAAAAATATTTAACGCAATTAACACGTGGCAGAGCTAGGGTTGGCCACCCCACTCACAACTGCTGCTTCGGTCTCTTTTTTTCTTTACAAGAATTGCGTTTTTTTTAGACGCAGAACGTCTTTACGAGCACATCAAATCGGAGACTTTTCAGACACGCACTCCAACTTCGCTTCAGTGCCAGGCGCTAGACAAACGAGTGCGGAAAATATACAGGTGACGAGGAGCTTCAGTACAACAACAGTGAACTGCGGTCAGATGAGATGTTGTCAGGCCATATGTCAGTAAAAAACAATTTTCCTGTCCTGTCAGCCGATATACTGCGCTCATAGCACGTGCTCTTCAATGAATGCACAAAATGCGCCGGCGCTCGCTGTAGCCTGTATCATTTCATAATAAAGTGCAAAAGAAACGATGAGCATGCAATGTCATAGTTATGTCGTCAGTTAACTCATGAAGTTACCAAAAAGGCAATTAAAGCTGCCTTAAAATTGTGCATGTATGTAAATATTTGTTATATACACTGTAAAAAATGACCGTGAATTTAACGGTAAAAGACTGTAAAAATGCTACAGTAAAAACCTGTTAAATGGTTAACGGTAAATTCCCCTACTATATATGGTGAAAAACTGTATTGGACATTACATGTATTGGACATAAATTTTACGGTAGTATACCGTTTTTGGAAGTGAAAAAAGACCGTATAATTTACAGTGAATAACCGTAAATTGACATTCCCGGAGTTCCCTGCGTTACATTTCAAATTTGATGTTTTTTTGTTGAAATAACTATGTTTCTTCTTAGTTTTTTCTTATCAGTTTTGTATATTAGGGTTGTGTGTTACACCTAATGTTGTTAAATGAATGTTTATTGCATTATGTATCGTGTGTCACCATGATGGTGTTTGGTGTTTGTGTGAATGACACTGTGCACCTTCTATATATGTTATTATCTAAAAGCTGCTTGTGATGGGCTTTGGTTCATCATGTGACTTTCTCATCACCACCTGCTTTTGGTGGTTATTAGTGTATTACAAAGGTACTAAACAGATTTCAGTACTTCAATAGGTTGGTATATTAACATTATATCAGTTAATGAAAATACGGTATTTAACAGTAAATTTAAGTTAAAACCGTAAAACGTTGCTACCGTATTTTTTACGGTAAAATTCCGGCAACCACAGCTGCCGTTTTTTTACCGTAAATTTTACGGATTTTTTTTTACAGTGTATGAGTCAGATTTAAGAGCATGTCTCTTTCAAAACTGTCCTGGAACAGCCCAGCACTGTCTCCCTCATCAACACACCCGATTCAACTCGTCAGCTCATTATTTGAGACTTTGGGTCAGAATAGATAAAGAGATGCGTGTCAGATCCGCGTCATGTTCAGCAGCTGCAGCTCTTAAAGCAGCCAAAATAACCTAATAACCAGCTGCTGTGATGTCTGTTCATCAAAGAACAAAATAATAAAAAAAGAGCAAATCAATAACTTTTGTAGCTTTAAGGATTCATCTATATTTAATTTAGAATTTTGTGTTTGATTACTTTATTCAATTTCTGTATATTTAATTTTCTACTTGCTGAAGGGCACAGGTAGCTAAATATAATATTTATTATAATTTATTTTTTAAAGTCTAATAAATGTTAAAATTTATAGTTCTCAATTATACTGTAATGCTGAATGGCTATAGCCAATGGTTAAATATTAGGGGAAAAAATTCATAGAGGCATCAATAGTACTGATACTTGCCTCCAGTCATAAAAAAAGATGCCATTAAACAAATATTAAAAATATGCTGTCGTTATGATGTTTCTACATTAATTTGAAGATTGAATGTGAAATTATTGCAATATAAAAGTATATTTAAAAACTTTAATGTTAGGTTGGATTAATCGCGATTAATTTCAGAAAAAATGTGCAATTAATTAGTTAAAGGGGTCATATGATGCGATTTCATTTTTTCCTTTCTCTTTGGAGTGTTACAAGCTCTTGGTGCATAAAGAAGATCTGTAAAGTTGTAAAGACTAAAGTCTCAAATCCAAAGAGATATTCTTTATAAAAGTTAAGAGTCAGCCACGCCTACCTAAAACGGTTCGTTCTAACACGCCCCCACATAGATTGACAGCACTACTCAATGGTTAACTAGTTATAACTAAACTAAACAAAAACGTTTGCTTGATCCTAGTAATAATAATGCATTTTTTGAAATGGGTGAAAAGTGTTAACATAATATTTAAATTAGTACCCCTATTATTAGTTTATGAACAAAAAACATTGAATTTGTGCTCATAAAATTTTAAAATAAATAATGGGAGTACCCATTTAAGTAATAAGTAATGGTACCCATTTTTGTGGAAAGTGCCTTGAAACATTATTGAGTGATTTAAATGAAGACTTGTGATCGATTGTACAGCAGCCATGTGTTTACTGACACAAACAAACAAAAATAAAAATCACACACAGTTTGGATGTATTACAAATCAAGGGAATACACAGCCTCACCATCAACTGCATGGAGGTCACGGTGCTCCTGAAAACAGCTGTAGTACTTGTATTTTTTCCCACATACGTCACATGTATAGCGGAAAGAACCTGGATTAGAAAACAAAGACTTGTATGAACAGCAACTTGAGAGATCATTATCTGACGAGATGTTGGGAAGAACTCTAGTCAGCTTTTTTCCACAAAGTTTAACCCACTTAATTTAGAAAATTCCAGGTCAATTACACAAAAAATCTGCCCCATGAATAAATGCTACTCACTATTGATTCCCAGAGATGCTCCTTCTCCAGAAGCAGCAGCCTCAGTGTCTGAACAGCAAGAAACCACACAAAATACAGACACGTATATAAATTGCTAATTAAATATGTCAAATTTGATGATTCTGGTTATGATTTGGATTTCAGCTCCTTAATGATTCCATTCCAGTTCAGCACTTTTAAGGAAGCATTCATCACCCAATAACTAAACTACACTTCCATTCCAAAATAGAACCTGAAACTTTTTTCCAGCTCAGTGCTCAACCTTTAGAAAATGTCAACTAAGATGTAATATGTTGGAGATCAAACTAAACTTTGATTTCATATGAGGTTTTATATGACTTATACAAAATAAAAATGTGCAAACTTCAAAAAAAAAAAAAATGGGACATGTCTAAAAGCAGTACCATTCATAAACCATAATAAAGAAAAACATTTGATTGATTCGAGTAGTAATAAAATAATGTTTTTTGAAATGTGTAAGAGGTAACAGCGTTACCGTTAAAGTCATAGGAGACCAATTTGTATTCTGTTAGTGGAAAGTGCATTGAAACACTTATTCAAGGTTCATGATCTTAGATCAAAGATTCATTAACTGACTCATACGAGTCATTTGTTTCTGAATCTGATGTTCGGTGTTGCATGTAACCAGTCAAGACAATGCAATGGAAAGACGTGTTGTCTGTTTATCACCATATTCTTTCAAAGTGCTCGGTCACAACTCAGCTAAAACAATTTCATTTGCAGTTCTGAATACAAACTAGTTTATGACTCTCAACCCTACAGAACTTACAACCATCTTATTCAGATTCAATAGGTCAAGACGCACCTGTGTGAGCTCGGACATGTGTCTGAAAGCAGTTGTAGTACTTGTACTTTTTGCCACATACTCCACAAATGTAAGAGCCTGTAAGAGAAAGGACAGAAAAAGGAAATATCAGACAAAAGCATTTCAAGTGTTAGTGAGGTGCATTGCATTGAGTAATTACATAGACAACACAGCACATGAAATGTACCCCCCAAACATATTTGTACATCCAGATATTAGGATTGACATTTCACCACAAAATTCCTATTATTTTGTGCGGAAAAAGTAAATATATTTTTTTATTCACTGAATGAATAAAACTATTATTATTAATAAAATTCATTCATCAATAAAATTTATTTCATTAATAGAATCAAGTTCATGTAATTAAAGGGGAAGGCAACCTTATCCTCACAGCACAAGCATTAAAAATGGTAAAGTTCCATTTGTTAATATTAGTTGACATGAACTAACAATGAACAATAATTCAACAGCATTTATTAAAGGGGTCATATGATGCTGCTAAAAAGAACATTATTTTGTGATTCACGACATGGCTGTAGCGTCAACAATATTACAATGAGAATAAAAGTTACGCCTTCTTTCTTTGCGTGAACATTTGGGTGACGTTATGCAAATCTTTCCACATAGTGATGTAGATATGTGGGGGTGTGTTAGAACGAGCCGTTTTAGGTAGGCGTGGTTAACTCTTAACTTTTATAAAGAATATCTCTTTGGTTTTGAGACTTTAGTGTTTGCAACTTTACAGATCTTCTTTATGCACCAAGAGCTTGTAACACTCCAAAGAGAAAGGAAAAATTGAAATCGCATCATATGACCCCTTTAATTAGTTAGTTCATGCTAACTTCGACATTTACTTACTGGGCATTTTTTAAATAAAAAATTGTATCTGTTAACAGTAGTTAATGCACTCTGAATTAACAGGATCAAAATTAAAAATTGCATTTTTATTCACTAACATTAACAAAGATAAATGCTGTAAAACATGAATTGCTCATTCTTAGTTCAGTTTTGCTAATGAGTGTTACTAGTCTGACCATATTATAAGTGTTACTGAATGTGTTGATGTGGTTACTATGTAAGCCTGTTTCCGCCACTGAATAAAAAATAAAACAAGGTAATTGCGACTTTTTATCTCACAATTCTGACTTTTTTTTTCTCAGAATTGCGAGATATAAACTCGCAATTCTGACTATTTTTCTCAGAATTGCGAGTTCATACCTTGCAATTCTGACTTTATAACACACAATTGCGAGTTATAAAGTCAGAATTGCGAGTTTTTTTCTCGCAATTGCAAGTTTATATAAAAGTTTAGTTTGGAAAAGTCAGAATTGCGAGTTATAAAGTCAGAATTGCGAGATATAAACTCGCAATTCGGATCACTCGCTTTGCCGTTACTGGCCACAGACTCAGGAGACGCCACCTCCGCCTTTACACTCACTGAGGGAAGCTTTGGAGACGTTGTCGGTACCGCCTGTGTGGCTCCAGCCTCTGTGGGGACAACAGCCGTGTCCTTCGGCTCCTGGCTGGGGTTCGGAACCTCCTGACAACTCATGACTCCAGGTCTGCTCAGAAGGAGCTAAGGGAACTGCAAATGACAAAAAACAGGAAGAGGATTTTAAGTTCCCAGAGAGCTCAATTAAATACTTTAAATATTTGTACATGCATTATATTTAAATATATGTGTATTTGTACATTTATTATATATGTTTAAGTGTATGTAAAATATAATTTATATATATATATATATATATATATATAA